ATAAACAATACGTTATTTTTATTATAACTCTAACTATAAATAATTTTACTTTATATCATTAAAGGCATGCAGTAAACATCAACAACATTTTATTTTCATTATTTGGCCTGACCCCCCCAACCCCCCTCTGTTGGTGCTGCTGTTTGAACTTGGCCAGCAAGGTTTTATCAGTGGCGTGAGGAAAGCTATAAGGAAAAAAATTGAGTATAAGCACAAAAATTTGTACTAATCTTTTCAAAAAATAAGTAAAAATAAGATGAACGGTCTTACTTGCTCTCCTCATCAAGTAAATAGAGGAGTCCAGTGGGCTTCTTGCTGATGAGGTGAATACAGCCGACGTTATCGGTGTAGTCGATGTTGTGCCAGGTGATGCCCTCGGCCTGATACTCCTCCTGCAGGCGGACGAAACACACATCGTGATCAAATCGCCACCAAAAATTAGTTAATGAAGACTTTTGGAGGTTGCGCCCATGCAAACCACCCCACTAACCTGTTCAAGTTTAAAGATGTGCTGGTTGAAGTAATACTGAAGCTGCTCGTTGGCGTAGTTGATGCAGAACTGTTCAAAGCTGTTGGTCTCAAAGTCTTCGAAGCCGAAGATATCAAGCACACCAATAGATAAACACTGAAATAATGGAGAAACCACATGATTATTGAGACCTTGAACATCTTTAACGCAGATTCTGATCGTTGCGGTTTCATTCATCATTCATGGTTACCGATTAATTATCGCATCCAACTCAAAATTCTGCTATTCGTGTACAAAGCTCTAAACAACAACCTTGCTCCTCCATATCTCTCTGAGTTGATTATAGTACACAATCCAGGTAGATCACTCAGATCACAGACTAAACATCGGCTTTTGGTTCCCAGAGCTAGATTGAAATGCAGGGGTGACAGAGCCTTTGCTGTTGCTGGCCCCAAGCTATGGAACAATTTGCCATTATCCATCAGAATAGCTTCTTCAGTGTCTGAGTTTAAAAGTCTTTTAAAAAGTATATTTTTTCCCATGCTTTCAATGTTTTGTGACTGTGGTTTTCTAATGACGTGTTTACTCTATTGTGTGATTGGATCAATGAAACCGTGTACTGCACTTTGGTATACTAAGGTTGTTTTAAAGTGCTTTATGAATAAATTGAACATCTTACCGAAACCGACTCCTCCATGTCTCTCTTATTAAGCAGCGCGTGATTGATCCGCAGGACGATCCAGTCGAACAGGGCACTGTACAGTGACTTGGCCATGGAGTCTCGAGCGGTGATCGCCTGCACAAACGACACTCGTTTAGCTACAGAACACCTGGACGCTCTGCTAAAAGCGGCGTATGAAAGAGGATGGCTCTAGCGCACCTGGCTGTGGCTGTAGGGCAGAATCAGCTTGTCGTTTACGGTCACCGTTTTCCTCTTGGTAAGAGCCTCCACCAACAGCTCCTCCTTAACCTGGACGAAACCAGCACAACGTTTGTGAAGTGACATTCAAAATATCCAACAAACTACAGCATGAAAACCATGCGCAAAAGCATGAAATCATGTGATCAACTAAAGACAAAAATGAAGGAAAATCTGTTTTCCCCATTCAGTAGGTCAACACAATAATAAAGTATAAATACTACTATTCAAAAAATATTTTTATTTTATTAATACTTAATTTTTTTATAACCTGGACGCTCTGCTAAAAGCGGCGTATGAAAGAGGATGGCTCTAGCGCACCTGGCTGTGGCTGTAGGGCAGAATCAGTTTGTCGTTTACGGTCACCGTTTTCCTCTTGGTAAGAGCCTCCACCAACAGCTCCTCCTTAACCTGGACGAAACCAGCACAACGTTTGTGAAGTGACATTCAAAATATCCAACAAACTACAGCATGAAAACCATGCGCAAAAGCATGAAATCATGTGATCAACTAAAGACAAAAATGAAGGAAAATCTGTTTTCCCCATTCAGTAGGTCAACACAATAATAAAGTATAAATACTACTATTCAAAACATTCAAAAAATATTTTTATTTTATTAATACTTAATTTTTTTATATTGTACAATTTGAATAATAAAATTTTAATCGATACATAAATATATATCAGTAGTGCAATAATACTATAAAATAAAAGAATAGTAAAAACAACAATATAAAATAAAACAATATATAAAATAATAATAATAATTATTATTATTATTATTTTAAACATTTTATTAATGTTTTTATATATTTATTTTATTATTTTAATTATTACGTTCAAACAAATCAAAACACATTTCTGTTGCAATAATAGTATTGTACTGTAAAATAAATAAGATTCAATAATAATAAAAATAACAACAGCAACAATAATAATAAAAACAATAATATTAAAAATAAAACAACATATAGATAAACTATATGAAAAGAAAATAATAATAATCATCATCATCATCATCATTAAATGAAATGATTATTAAATAAAAATGATTAAAAATATATATTTTTTATTTTATTTACATTATAAAATATAATCAACAAAGAAATATTACTATTGGAGTAACTATAAAATAAAGCATTTAATAATTATAGCAATTACAATAATAATGAAAGTAATTACAACAATAATAATAATAATAATATTTAATAAAATAAATACAGATATTCAGTTTTTATTTTGGCGGATTTCATCATTACAAATTTAGGAAGGTATCCAAGCATTAAACACATGTATTTTAAACTTTTCACACATTAGTTTAAAATATGTATTAGCTGACTTTATTGTTTCCATGGAGGTGTGTCATGCTTGTCATGTGACACACCGCAGCCCCAATAGCGTTGTATGACAGATCTATCGCCTTTATTTCATTTTTCCTTTTATTATTATTAATATTCATAAACATACTCACTATATTATGAAAGATCTGATATTCTGATTCTGAAATATATGCAAGTAAATGTATTTGTAGTTTAAACACTTTTATATCGACCGTGTTAGTTGATCTATAGCGGGTGATGGGCGCCGCCATGTTAGTTCACGCTAAATCCGAGCTGTGGGATTAACAACACATAAATTCATCCTCTCCTCCCGAAACACGTTAAAGTAAGTCTCCGGTAAACTGGGAGAAGAGTATAGTAAACGTTATAGTTACCTACACAATGTGTATATGATATCAATAAAACATGTCGTCAGATTATATTTGTAAGGGTCATTACTGCCGTTTCCACAGACATCGGCGTGTATTTTACAAACTATAAATGTATGGTTTTGCTAGTACTTATGTGTATTTAAATGTCTGAAACCTAAAATAAGCATTATAAGGTTGAAAACACTGAATAGTTGTGATAATATGACGAGTTCAGCACGTCCGATCTGGCTCCGGCCAGAAAATACAGAAATCTGCATAAATATGTAAAAAATCACGTCCCTGGTGGTAAGTTTTGGAAATGCATTTACCTTTAGCAGGTCTGAGAGTGTGGAAAGCACCTCCGGCGGCCCCACATCCAGACCCTCCTCTCTGCCGGACGACTTCTGACTGTACGTCACGTTACCCAGATACAAGATGGCCGACAGGACGGAGAATATCCTACGAGGAACGCAACAAACAACCCAAACGTCTCAGATACTTCATTTCCTTCTTCAACCAGTCTGAAGACATTTGTCCTAACGGTTTGACTCACTGTCTCTTGGTGGTCGGCAGGAAGCCGACCATCTCCATCGCCTGCTGCAGTCGCTCGAAGTCGTGCCGAAGATCGTCCGCATCTTCTATCGTAAAGTTTTGCTGCAAACAAAAACGGAAAACCGTTGCAATTTCTATGCAGTTTTTGGTGCATAAGCTATTTTAGTATCAGTAAACACTAGGGATGCACCAAAATTAAAATTCTGGGCAGAAACCGCAACCGAAAATTCTTGATGCATTTTCCCCGAAAACCGAAACGGCAGACGAAATTTTGGTGCATCCCTAGTAAACACTGTTAATGAGGGATAAGAAAGCGGTTTTACTTGTAAAGCGATCATTTGTATTAGTGCTGGGCAACGATTAATCGCATCCAAAATAAAGGTTTTTGTTTACGTAATATATGTGTGTGTACTGTGTTTATTTATTATGTATATATAAACACACACACATTCAGTATATATTTTGAAAATATTTACATGTATATACATAATAAATATACACAGTACACACATATACTATGTACAAAAAAACCTTTATTTTGGATGCGATTAATCGTTGCCCAGCACTAGTTTGTGTATATACACACACACACACACACATATATATATATATCATGTGTATATGGGATCGTTCACCTGTTTGAGGTAGAAGTATTCTTCTGGCTGCAGGAGTCTGAATTCACGCCGCTCATCCTCCGACGCACCCACCAGCAGATAGTAAAACACGTGGTAGTTCCTGCGTGGGGAGGAAAAAACTGATTTATTGAGCTGGAAAAGGTATTTTCGACAAGTTACATGTTCCTCATGATTTAAAGTAAACAACAGTCAAGCTACCGCTTTGAGAAACTTGTTGGGTACACTTTAAGTTGTTAATAAAAGTCAGGTAATTACACTTGTTTTTGAAACCGATTCATTTACATGAATCATTTGAACAAATCAGTTAATTCATAAAGCATGGTACGATTTTATTTATCCAGATTTAAATTAAAATGTACACTGTAATACACTTTTTTCCCCAAAAAATGTATTTACTTGTATAGTAAATTTTGATATTTATATATTAAATTTGAAGAAGGTGATATCTTGTTTTTGGACCAGTTCATTTACATGAATCATTTGAACAATATATATATATATATA